TTCTAAGTTGTGTAGGGTTGAATTGTTGGTTTGTTTGATTGTGTTAAGTCTTTTGTTGTCGTAAGTGTAAAGTTGGAGTATTGTTCTCTTTCATCTAAAACTTGGCTAAGTCGGGGAAAAATGAGGTTGATCATGATCGTAAGGATTTGGGCTTAAGCGGAGTAAACTTGTAAAGCTTATGGAAGCTTTGATTTGGTTGTAATTTTTAGTTTTGTAATTTTTCCTTTCTTTGCCTTTTGTAATTCGACCTTGTTAGGTATCTTGGAAAAGTCTTTGGTGCTCAATCCCATCTCCCAACATGATCCTTTATTTCCTAGTAAATTGTGTTTTAGTTGGTTGGTTAGAGGAACCAAAGTTCTTCTAACTTAATCATTAGGCAGCATAACTAGTTTATTATTTGCTTTCTTAATTGTGATAGTTTAGTGTGTGTCAATTTTAATTTCAACTTTAGTTCCCTTTGAGAAATTTGGTTCAAGAGTGCCTAAGGTAAAATTTGACTAGGAAATGTCTGGTATATAAGCAATTCATTGTGATTCATTTCCCTTTCCTAGAAGTGAACTTGGGTGTCTTTTGCCTCCTTAAGTCTCTTAAGGAACTCCTTTTGAAATTTAAGTATTTGCTTGTGCATTGTATCTTTTTGAAAACCTTTAAGGATGTCTAAGTCAACTTCCTATGAAATTGGTAGTGACTCTAATGAGGAATCTCACTTTGAAAAATTTAGCAAAAGAGCTAAAGTCACTTGATTTGGCAAAAGCAAGAAACTTTTATCAAAGAAAAAGAAAAAATTAAAAGAGAAGACTATTTTGCTAAGTTGAAAGAAGAACTTAGAGTCCTTAATGAGAAACAAGAAAAAGCTCAAGAAGATATAAGAAAAACAAGATTAAAACCAAGAGTAGGATTAGGAGTAGGAGTCACACAAGAAGGAGTTCTAAAACTCCAACTTAACCCACACATTATGAGGTAGATATTAGGCTTGCCCATCAATATTATCAACCTCCCCCTCTTAGAATTCAAAGAGAGCACCCTCCAAGAGAAGTTAGAGTAGACCTCCACCATTTCCATGGAAAAGAAGATGTTGAGACATAATTAGATTGGGAAATGAAAGTTGAACAACACTTTGAGTGTCATCATGTGAGTGAGGAGAGAAAGGTCACTTTGGCCACTTTGAGTTTCCAAGGTAATGCCATGTATTTGTGGACTCCCCTTGTGTGACAGAGAAGACTCTCTAATTTTCACCAAGTCACCTATTGGAATGACTTAAAAAGTATCATGAGAAGAAGACACATTCCCTTATATCATCATAGGGAGCTAATGGACAAACTCCAAAGGCTCCAACAAAAATACATGAGCATTGAGAGCTATACGCAAAAGATGAAGCTCTACATGATGATAACGGGAATTAAAGAGGAAGAAAAGACCACCATCTCTAAGTTTCTAAGTGGTCTTAAACTTGAGATTAGGGATAGAGTGGAATTTTTGCCCCACCAAAGACTTAAATGATTTGGTACAAATTTGCATTAAGGTAGAGAAATAACTCTTAAAAAAGGTTTAAAGCTTTCCACTCTAACTCTAGTGTTATGAAAGACTATAAGATGGTAAGCAAGTGGTAGAAGAAGAACCCTCTAGGAATATAAGGAGGGAGAAGAGAGAAGATAAAGAAAAAGAGAGACTAAGGGTGGGAACATCATCTCGCACTCGCACTGGTTAAATTAAGTGTTTCAAGTGTCTTGGTAGAGGTCACATTGCATCTTAATGCCCTACCAAAAATACCATGATCTTAAGGGGTATTGATGTATATAGTAGCCAAGATGACGAAAGTGAGAGTGAGAGAAGTGGCGCAAAGAAACAAGAAGAAAGTGTAAGTGAGGATGTCCATCCTTGTGAGGGAGAACTTCTTATGATAATAAGTATTCTCCATAATCAACCTAGTTCACAATAGCACACATAAAAAGATAACATCTTCCACACTAGATGTAAATCCTTAGACAAAATAGGTTCCCTTGTTGTGGATAGTGGCTCATGTTCAAATTGTTGTAGCACTAGGTTGGTTAACAAGCTTGGATTAACTACTTTTCCTCATTCTCAATCGTATAAACTTCAATGGATCAATGAGGACAAGGAAATGGAAGTTAATGAACAAGTGATGGTCAAGCTATCCATAGGGAATTATGAAGATAGTGTGTTATGTGACATAGTACCTACGGAAACTTGTCACATTTTGTTGGGTAGGTCTTGGCTTTTTGATAGAGAATCTTTACATCATGGCCACATCAATGAGATAATCATCACTCACAATAAAAGAAAGTTTGTACTTCATCCTCTCACACCTTCTCAAGTGGAAGAGGATCAAGAACAAATGAGAAAGAAAATAGAAAAAGAATAAGGTAAAGAGAAAAATAAAGACACTTATAACAATCAATGTTCTAAGTGTCAAGAAAAATAACACAAGTCTAAAGAATTCCCCCAACAAGAGAATTCTTATGTTAAAGGCCAAAGACTTGTATGGAAAAATAAAAGAGGTATTTTCACCATCTTCATCAAGAAACATGAAAATACAAGACTAAATAAAACCTTGTGTTGAAAAGGGAAATCATTTCAAAAGAACATACATTCAACATGAGGCAAACAAGAGTTTCAAAGAAAATGCTTCCAAAAACCAAAACCTTGATCATTTATTTGATTAAAGGTGTATCATCCTTGGGAGCTACATTCTTCTTATACTTATTGTACTAACATTTGTACTATCTTGTGTTATAAGTAGAAGGGTATTTGACCCTGGGGAAGCAAAGACAAATACCTCCAAAAAGAAAAAAAGAGAAGGATGCCCTATATCAACTTGAAGATTTGAGGAAAAATTCTTTTTAAGAGGGGGGATGATGACATACCCGTAACCATGATCTAGCACATTTATGAAGAGTTGGAATCATCTATGGAAGATGGGCATCGACTCTTTCTCTTAGACCATCTTAAGCCATAATAAAAAATTTAGTAGAGTAGTAAGAATAATTTTAGACCTTGTATTTTGGACCAAATAGTCTAGATTTTATTTGGACTTTATATTATAGGCCAAGTAGTTTAGATTTTATTTAAACTTTGTATGATGGACCTAATAGTATAAGATTTTAATTTAGACCAAAATATTTATAAGAGATTAAACATATAGAAAACGCTACATATAAGAAAACACTATTAGTTAAGCTACCAAGTCAATGTTAAGCATAAAGCTTTTAGAAAAAAACAAAGTAGCTTAATTCTATAAGTAGATAACCGTTATAATGTCTTAAAGCAGGGAGAAAAGTTCCATATTGTAAACACCATGTTATTTTTTGTTGATGAATTCACTGTAGTATCATAATAATAGTGAGTGGTTAAACTTTATTGTGTTGAAAGTAAATGAAATAGTAAATTCTTTGTACTCTTGTCTAATTTGTGCAATTATATTCAAATGTATATGTTTTCCATTTAATTTAGTTTTATATTTGATGTTTGAACTGAAAAAGAAACTCTATATTCAATCATAGATATTTAATGAGATTGGAAAATGATTTCATTATCTAAACTAAACTGAATCATCTGGAGAGAATAATTGCCAGGAATGGAGTTATATTTTCGACCAAACTGTTCTAACTGTTAATGCAGGTATTGAATAGCTTCATTGCAAGAAATTGAATAGATCCTATTAAGCCTTAAATAATCAAGTGCAAGAGAACAACTTAGTTTGACCACAGAACACGAAAAACTATAACAAATAACTATACACATGTTAAAACTATTGTTACCACTTGTTATCCTAACAATCATCATTTTCACTTCCAACATTGCTACTATCACTTTTACTATTTTTGTCATGTTCATCACATCTTATTAATTACTGTCATCATCATTATTATAACTATTTTCATCATCATTGTTGTCACCATTTTATTATTATCATCGTCATCACTATCTCATAATTATTAATTTTACTCTTACCATATTCACTTTCATCACCACTTCAACAATATATTACCGTAGCCATTCCCCATAATCATAATGAATGGAATAATAGGAACGAAAATTTTGAACACAACCGAATTAAACTGAAGACGAAATTCTGGAAAGACTTCAAATCAAATAACCATAAGAAAAAAGTAAATATAAAGAGTAGCATAAGATAGGTACTTCAGAATAAAATTGAATGAAAAATTATTTTAGCATATACAATAAGAAACACTTAGAGTGACCTTAATCATTTATTAATAATCTTATGCTGTATTATATTCACTCGTGTATGTCATTATTTGAATCATTTTGCTGCAAAATCAAATCAACTGAAGAATTTCAACATAATGATTCTAGCATTTTGGTGCACAAGGAAGTGTCTTCATACACGGACAATATAGTTTCTAAAATCGCATACCCTAAAAATTATAATTTTTAAGAAAGACTAAAATACATTAGATTGGAAAAAATATAACGAGACATATTCACTTAATTTTCATTAAAAAATTTAATTTATTACTACATTAATCAATTTAATAAAGTTATTCTTCACTATTTTTATTTTTAGATTTTATAAACATAAAGTTAAATTCTCACACTTCAAAAAATTAATTTAGTGGAAACTAGTATTGAATAATTTTGTGCAAAACATGACAAAAATTGTTCCCAAAAATACTTTTCCAAATTTCCAAGCTCTTCTAAATTCAAAATGGCTTTCGAAATTTCTTGGCACAACCTTTGTTATTTGCTTATACATAGCAAAATTACTTATTTTATATACTTTCCATATTTTCTCGAAAAACAAATGTATCTTGAGACTCAATCCTGTATTTCCAGTTATGTTGGCTATAAAAAAAATCCTCCCAACCAGTTCCTTGGAACATTGGTTAAGGAAATTAAACAAATATACAGTTTGAAAGGAAAATTCTCTATTCTCAATTCCATAATTGGATATATAGCATTTGTGGTGAAAAGATGGGAAACATTTTAAATTAGATTCATATCCAAATCAAGAAGGGTTCAATGATTAAACTAACCACCTTCTAACTGAAAAGCTTGCAGTTAGTTATACATGAAAAGATGAAAAGCTAATATGTACTGCGCATTGTTTGTAATTGAAATAAAATAAAAAAATCAATGAAACCATGTATAGGAAAAGATAAGAAAAGGAGAGAAGCATAAGCAAACTAAGCTAAAGACTACTTTGTTTGCCTGCAAACATTCAGAGCATTGGCTGGCCATTCTAAACCTACCGCACACTACTCAACAGCTAGGGTGATCATGTATAAGCATGAAACTCAGCTAGAATTTTAATCATGTATCAGAATCTTTAGAAACTAATCTCTCAGAATTTACAGCAAAGAAAGCCACCCGTCCAGCAGGACCGCTGCTTCCGGTGATGCCTCCGGTCAGCCTTCGCCATCCTAACCGGGCTGCTATTCCATTCAGATTGAATTCTGCAGAAGAAGAAAACTCAGCTTATCAGTTATGGATTTCTTACCAAAAGGGCCAATGCAAAAATGTCAACTCATCAAGTTTTCTGGAACTTTACATAGGAAATGCAAAGGATCGTGTGCTTGTCGTGCTGCTATCCGATCGAAGGGAGATGCTGCCGGAGTAAGGTACCGGCCCTGAGTAACTTATTCGACCAGACACTGGGCCGACGGCGGAGAAACTTGACTCACCTAAGCTGTGACGAATGAGGCTGGTTACAGCCTGATCATCGCTCTTCCATTCTATTGGCCTGGTTGTATGATGGATTTCAGCACATCTACAACTACCAGCTTGGCTGCATTCTTCTTTACCACAATCTGCAGGAGCTGAAGGATCAACTTGCCGAGTGATGGTTGCATTCTCTTGAGGCTTGATGTCTTTCTTTGATTCATCATCTGCCACTGCCAAAGAAGGGCTACTCAACATTGCTTCCTCGTCTGTACTTTTGGACTCTTCCAATAGGGAGGAGATCTGCACATATAACACATTTGTCATTTGTCAGTTTTGATCTCAGAAAATATCAAACTTGTGGGCTTAACTAGTTACTCTATGAACACATTGTGTTTTCAATGCTGTATCTAATCAAACAAGTAGCAATCTTAAACACTTAATTAACATGCCAAATTCAATCCCTCCAAAAGAACTATTAACATATTTAATATTTGATAATATATATTAAATACCTGTTCNCCACATCAATGAGATAATCATCACTCACAATAAAAGAAAGTTTGTACTTCATCCTCTCACACCTTCTCAAGTGGAAGAGGATCAAGAACAAATGAGAAAGAAAATAGAAAAAGAATAAGGTAAAGAGAAAAATAAAGACACTTATAACAATCAATGTTCTAAGTGTCAAGAAAAATAACACAAGTCTAAAGAATTCCCCCAACAAGAGAATTCTTATGTTAAAGGCCAAAGACTTGTATGGAAAAATAAAAGAGGTATTTTCACCATCTTCATCAAGAAACATGAAAATACAAGACTAAATAAAACCTTGTGTTGAAAAGGGAAATCATTTCAAAAGAACATACATTCAACATGAGGCAAACAAGAGTTTCAAAGAAAATGCTTCCAAAAACCAAAACCTTGATCATTTATTTGATTAAAGGTGTATCATCCTTGGGAGCTACATTCTTCTTATACTTATTGTACTAACATTTGTACTATCTTGTGTTATAAGTAGAAGGGTATTTGACCCTGGGGAAGCAAAGACAAATACCTCCAAAAAGAAAAAAAGAGAAGGATGCCCTATATCAACTTGAAGATTTGAGGAAAAATTCTTTTTAAGAGGGGGGATGATGACATACCCGTAACCATGATCTAGCACATTTATGAAGAGTTGGAATCATCTATGGAAGATGGGCATCGACTCTTTCTCTTAGACCATCTTAAGCCATAATAAAAAATTTAGTAGAGTAGTAAGAATAATTTTAGACCTTGTATTTTGGACCAAATAGTCTAGATTTTATTTGGACTTTATATTATAGGCCAAGTAGTTTAGATTTTATTTAAACTTTGTATGATGGACCTAATAGTATAAGATTTTAATTTAGACCAAAATATTTATAAGAGATTAAACATATAGAAAACGCTACATATAAGAAAACACTATTAGTTAAGCTACCAAGTCAATGTTAAGCATAAAGCTTTTAGAAAAAAACAAAGTAGCTTAATTCTATAAGTAGATAACCGTTATAATGTCTTAAAGCAGGGAGAAAAGTTCCATATTGTAAACACCATGTTATTTTTTGTTGATGAATTCACTGTAGTATCATAATAATAGTGAGTGGTTAAACTTTATTGTGTTGAAAGTAAATGAAATAGTAAATTCTTTGTACTCTTGTCTAATTTGTGCAATTATATTCAAATGTATATGTTTTCCATTTAATTTAGTTTTATATTTGATGTTTGAACTGAAAAAGAAACTCTATATTCAATCATAGATATTTAATGAGATTGGAAAATGATTTCATTATCTAAACTAAACTGAATCATCTGGAGAGAATAATTGCCAGGAATGGAGTTATATTTTCGACCAAACTGTTCTAACTGTTAATGCAGGTATTGAATAGCTTCATTGCAAGAAATTGAATAGATCCTATTAAGCCTTAAATAATCAAGTGCAAGAGAACAACTTAGTTTGACCACAGAACACGAAAAACTATAACAAATAACTATACACATGTTAAAACTATTGTTACCACTTGTTATCCTAACAATCATCATTTTCACTTCCAACATTGCTACTATCACTTTTACTATTTTTGTCATGTTCATCACATCTTATTAATTACTGTCATCATCATTATTATAACTATTTTCATCATCATTGTTGTCACCATTTTATTATTATCATCGTCATCACTATCTCATAATTATTAATTTTACTCTTACCATATTCACTTTCATCACCACTTCAACAATATATTACCGTAGCCATTCCCCATAATCATAATGAATGGAATAATAGGAACGAAAATTTTGAACACAACCGAATTAAACTGAAGACGAAATTCTGGAAAGACTTCAAATCAAATAACCATAAGAAAAAAGTAAATATAAAGAGTAGCATAAGATAGGTACTTCAGAATAAAATTGAATGAAAAATTATTTTAGCATATACAATAAGAAACACTTAGAGTGACCTTAATCATTTATTAATAATCTTATGCTGTATTATATTCACTCGTGTATGTCATTATTTGAATCATTTTGCTGCAAAATCAAATCAACTGAAGAATTTCAACATAATGATTCTAGCATTTTGGTGCACAAGGAAGTGTCTTCATACACGGACAATATAGTTTCTAAAATCGCATACCCTAAAAATTATAATTTTTAAGAAAGACTAAAATACATTAGATTGGAAAAAATATAACGAGACATATTCACTTAATTTTCATTAAAAAATTTAATTTATTACTACATTAATCAATTTAATAAAGTTATTCTTCACTATTTTTATTTTTAGATTTTATAAACATAAAGTTAAATTCTCACACTTCAAAAAATTAATTTAGTGGAAACTAGTATTGAATAATTTTGTGCAAAACATGACAAAAATTGTTCCCAAAAATACTTTTCCAAATTTCCAAGCTCTTCTAAATTCAAAATGGCTTTCGAAATTTCTTGGCACAACCTTTGTTATTTGCTTATACATAGCAAAATTACTTATTTTATATACTTTCCATATTTTCTCGAAAAACAAATGTATCTTGAGACTCAATCCTGTATTTCCAGTTATGTTGGCTATAAAAAAAATCCTCCCAACCAGTTCCTTGGAACATTGGTTAAGGAAATTAAACAAATATACAGTTTGAAAGGAAAATTCTCTATTCTCAATTCCATAATTGGATATATAGCATTTGTGGTGAAAAGATGGGAAACATTTTAAATTAGATTCATATCCAAATCAAGAAGGGTTCAATGATTAAACTAACCACCTTCTAACTGAAAAGCTTGCAGTTAGTTATACATGAAAAGATGAAAAGCTAATATGTACTGCGCATTGTTTGTAATTGAAATAAAATAAAAAAATCAATGAAACCATGTATAGGAAAAGATAAGAAAAGGAGAGAAGCATAAGCAAACTAAGCTAAAGACTACTTTGTTTGCCTGCAAACATTCAGAGCATTGGCTGGCCATTCTAAACCTACCGCACACTACTCAACAGCTAGGGTGATCATGTATAAGCATGAAACTCAGCTAGAATTTTAATCATGTATCAGAATCTTTAGAAACTAATCTCTCAGAATTTACAGCAAAGAAAGCCACCCGTCCAGCAGGACCGCTGCTTCCGGTGATGCCTCCGGTCAGCCTTCGCCATCCTAACCGGGCTGCTATTCCATTCAGATTGAATTCTGCAGAAGAAGAAAACTCAGCTTATCAGTTATGGATTTCTTACCAAAAGGGCCAATGCAAAAATGTCAACTCATCAAGTTTTCTGGAACTTTACATAGGAAATGCAAAGGATCGTGTGCTTGTCGTGCTGCTATCCGATCGAAGGGAGATGCTGCCGGAGTAAGGTACCGGCCCTGAGTAACTTATTCGACCAGACACTGGGCCGACGGCGGAGAAACTTGACTCACCTAAGCTGTGACGAATGAGGCTGGTTACAGCCTGATCATCGCTCTTCCATTCTATTGGCCTGGTTGTATGATGGATTTCAGCACATCTACAACTACCAGCTTGGCTGCATTCTTCTTTACCACAATCTGCAGGAGCTGAAGGATCAACTTGCCGAGTGATGGTTGCATTCTCTTGAGGCTTGATGTCTTTCTTTGATTCATCATCTGCCACTGCCAAAGAAGGGCTACTCAACATTGCTTCCTCGTCTGTACTTTTGGACTCTTCCAATAGGGAGGAGATCTGCACATATAACACATTTGTCATTTGTCAGTTTTGATCTCAGAAAATATCAAACTTGTGGGCTTAACTAGTTACTCTATGAACACATTGTGTTTTCAATGCTGTATCTAATCAAACAAGTAGCAATCTTAAACACTTAATTAACATGCCAAATTCAATCCCTCCAAAAGAACTATTAACATATTTAATATTTGATAATATATATTAAATACCTGTTCACCCTTGTCATCAGAAGATGCAGAGTCCTCAGTGAGTAAATCTTGCAACAAAACCTTGTCTCCCAGTGAAGGTGTCTCTTTGTTGACATCGCCAGAAACTTCAGTGAGCATCAAATCCTTGTGCTGATTATGATTAGCAGAAACCTTATCAGACTCCTCTGTTGGTGTTAGTCTTAGTACATTGATATTGGTGTTGTCTTTCTGTTTTTCTTTAGTTTCACAACTCTCAAAAGGGAAGAAATCGCGGGCCTTTTCGTCGACAGGATTCACAAACACCACATTATCCTTCTTAAGTACTCCTTCATCGATGCATATATCCTTGACAACATGATAATTACTCTCATTGAAACATACTTCTGGATGTGGTTCAAATTCTGTAACAGTTTTGACCATGTAAACATCAACAGAATTCCTAGGTGATCCTTCTCCCTCTCTAGGATTAGAGATGGGTGAAGGAGACCTTTTAACTGATTCTATATCGTTTGGAAACTTCAACAATGACTCTACATCCTTAGAAGAGTGAGATACTGGCTCAACCAAGTCCTTTACCTTTGCTTCATATTCATTTCTTTCACAATCAACTGACTCCATGTCATATTGTAATGAATCTAAACCTTGTTCAGTTTTCTCTAGAAATGCAGGCATTTCATTCTCATATTCCTTCGGTTTCTGGCTCGGTAATTTGTATCCATCAGAAATTCGATCCTCGATGAACACAAACGACTGAGATTCAGGCTCAAGACCAATATTTGAATGCCGAAATGCCACTTTTCCTTCTGCAGATTCATTATGATACTGTCAAAAATTAGTTAGGCTAGAATTTAAAAGTAAGAAAATTGATAATAAATGAAACAAAACCATTTAAAACATTTGATAAACAGATACCATTTAGAACTAAGCAAATCATAAGGAGAACGGGTGTTTAGAATAGTTACATAATTGCTTTAAAGAACTGGTAAGAACCATGCTTAACCCACATTCAACACACAGATCAAGAAATGGTAAACCAAAGCTATACTTGTCCAACCCATATTAAAGCAAAAACCAAGTAAAAGGTCAGCAAGATACAGTAAAACAACCAATTGCAGGGACCATAAATAAACAGTATGTCACCTAATTTCATGGTGCAGCCAGGTAGAGATTCATGTGTAAATTTTCGTCAACAGTCGCAGGTGGTTCTTCGACTATTTTCAACCAAAGAGACTAGTCTGATTACACTATTCTTCAGAGATCTGAAAAATAGCAAACAATAACAATGATGGGTTAGCAAGTAACTAAATTAACTGCATGTAATGAAAACAAGAAGCAATAATGGATTCCATGATCTATAGAAGCACTCAAAACTAAAAACCAATAACAACATTCTACTCTACTGTTCCAAAGGATAAAAAAGAAGAAGAAAAAAGTAAAAGAGAAAGAAAGAAAGAAAGAGTAATTCTCTAATCATAAGAAATCATAAAATATTTATTTGGATTGCCGTATAAAAGAACAAAGGATTATGTCACTATTACCCCAAATTCTTGATTCCCAAACAAACAGGAAAATTTAGCAGAATCCACTCCAGTCATCACTCCAATCATAAAATAAAGCAGAAAGAATAAGAAAGAAAGAAATGAAGAATTTACCAATATTTCTAAGAACAAAGGTTTATATTAAGGCATAATAACTGGGGACCATTTTCTATATTAAGCTTTTAATATCCACACAACATGTAAATTACATATATCATAATATTTAAGTACTAAAAAGCAAGTACCAGTATGCTGCTTTTTCTTTTTATAAGTAAAAGATTTCGCCTAAGTAGAATTCAAGGAAGGTACAGAAGGTATAATAGGACAAGAAAAAAGTTTAAAAATCTCAAACTTTTTCGAAAGTTTTCAACTACAAAATTACAAACCGAAATTTTAAATCAAAAGGCCTACATAACAAGATGACTCCCTACAAAATCCCTACCAATAATTTGTCCTCTAGCCCTGATTAAGATCTGACTCATCAGAATAAACAAGTTTAGAAAACCAGAAAATGGTACAGTGAATAAAAACACCAGCAGAGTGAAAACTTACACAGGAATCGCACGAAAGAAATCAGGGAACATGGTCAAAACGATAGAGATCTATCTCAGATCCCAAAACCTTCCTATACCCATAAAATAGTCAAGGGCTAAAAAGCTATTCTCATATTAAAATATAAAAGGATTTGCCAGCAAAAAAACCATTTTATCAAAAACTTCAGAACAGACAATTTCAGAGAAAATTCCAACTTCACCTGCAGATTAAAGTGTTTTAAAAATAAAACAAAGTGGCAGCATTCAGAACCAGAAGGTATATAATAATCTTTTGGTTACAAAAGTGAAACAAAATTGGTTGAACAAAAAACATGCAAGTCAGAAAGTGGAAGAGAGACAATCATAGGGCTGAGATGAAATCAGAGCAGAAAGAATTTAGAATTTACCAAAGTCCAAAACTGGAGAAGAAGAAAGAGTTTGCATATGTCGGTAAACGTATTGGATGCTTAAGGATGATCGAAAGGAAGAGATATGCTAATATACTAGTAATAAAATTTAATCAATTAATTAATTAATTAATACTAATAATAAAAGCAACCACAGAGTACTAAGAGATGATGGATGAGTTGTAATTATAGCATTCATAATGGTCAACCGTTACTCTCTCTCTTTCTTTCTTCTTTCTCTCTCTTTCTTAATCCCTTCACACATCACACACTCCACCATCTCCTTCTGCAATAAATGCATTAAAAACAGTAAAACGAAGCCCCGACCCTACCCTCCAATACCCAAATTCAATAGGGTATATTGTAGCATTAAATTTTCACCTCTAACGCTTCCCCTCCCCTCAGATCAAAATTTAATTTCACACCAAAAATATGCAACTTTACTTTCTTTCCTTATCCTTCTCACTTTTCCCAGTGTCCTTCTTTTCCCACTATTGTTTCTCTCCAAAGACTCCATCTTTATCAGATTCGCTACCTTTTCCCCACTCACCATTATCATCACCGTCATCATCACCCCTTTTATTTTCTATCCCACTTCCCCACAAACCCAGAATTTTCCCGAGAAAATCTCACCGTCAAGAAAAGATAAAACACGACCACATTGCTGCCTCGGATCCGTCGACCGAACTCCAAAGGAGCAGAATAAAAAAAACGAACACAACACAACACTAAACGACGAAACCTTTGACTTCATCCTTAACAAACCCAAAAACAATGAAAGTAAAAACAAACACGACAAAACAAAACCAACCCACTACGAGTTTTCGTATGAAACTCACCTCTCCTCTCTTCACCCCACCTCACCGATGAAGCATGTTCCGTTGCAGAATTATTACTCTGCTGCTCCACCCACCGTAGGATTCCTATACTCTCTTCAGATTCTGGTGATATATGTAATAACTCAACGCTCGAAAGAGAGAAAGAAAAGAACTTAGCTGTAACCCAAATCTGAAACTGGCTCTCACGTACCAACTGAGCTGTCTGTACGTGCTTCTGTTTTCATCTTCTCTTTCGATCTCTTTATATATGCGCTGCATTCTTTTTCTCTTTTTCTTTTCTTCTTATTTCCTTTGACTATGTTTTGTTTTTTCCATCTTTAGCTTTGGTGGGTCCCACCCAACCAATTAAGAGGTTCAAATTTTCATCTTCCCCACTCACGAATGGCCAACCAACTTTGGCTTTTCAAAATTATTAGTTTTCATTTCGCAACGGAGATTCTCTGCGGTGAGGATTTTGCCCATGCTGTGGGCATGCACGATCCCATTCGCACATCACATCCCTTACTAAAATTGCTGATGATATCTAAGGTTATCAACACATGTTTGGCGTGTCAAGTTGACTAACGCACCATTTCATGCTTCAACATTTTCTCTTTAAGAATTTAATTTAATGTATATTTTTAACAATATTTACTATTTAGTAGTTGAAATTAATAATTTAATCAAATATGATCTTTAAACTAACTGGCAGTATAAAATTATCTACATTTTAATTAAGTTTAGTTATCTCAATATTAAATTTAAATAATGTAATAAATATGTTATGCAACGTTATGTTATATGAATTATATTTAATGATTTAGTCAATAACTTATAAGAATCTGATTAATACATACATGAAAGTCAAACTAATAAGTTTATTATATACAGTAACAAAATTTCAAAAAGAAATTGTTGTGTTATATTATATCTGATAGTTAATATATTAATTAATGTTGTTATTTATTTAATGGTTTGCTTATTTTTTGTTTTAACAGTAAGAAGTTGTGATTGATTTTGTTAAAAAAATTCTTCAAATTTAATATTTAGCAAAACATTGTGTCCTATATTAAGAAATAAATTAATATATGAAAACAATATAAGAGACTCTATAATAACTAATCAGAAAATTACTTAGAATTTGAATAATAAACAAGAATAGACGAAAACATAAAATTGTAACATCACTTCCCCCGTATATTAACCTTAAACCGACCCTAAGAGTGAATCCTAATGCTATAAAAAAATCCAATTGTAAAAACCATCCTGAAAAATAAATCATGTTATCTATCGACGACAAAAAAAGCATATTATAAATCATGACCAAAAAGTAAACTCAGCTCTATAAATTTTCTCCCCACCAAAATCATGCAAAACCACGTTAAAAACACTCCCAACAAATGTACAAAAGAGACGATATATAACGGACGGAGTAAAAAAAGAACTCATCATATATATTTTAAGAATATGAATATAACAACTACTCTTTTTAAGTTGAGGTAAATCATCAATTCACTAATGTAAAAATGTGTATACGTGTGTGTCTGTGTATGTCATTTATGATCTTTACTAAGATAATCGATTATCCCAAGTAATAATCAATTATTCCAATGCATTTTCTGTAAAATGCTTTAATCTTGACCTTTTTAACTTGTTGCGATCTTCACGAAGTTAAGTCTAAAATACAAAAACTAACTCTAGAATATAATGAAAAATTGCTAAAAACAAAAGCTTTAATTGAATAACAATTTTTATAATATTCAATCCCAAGGTTAGTTTTATCACCAAAACTCTTTAGTCTTCAATTCAACCTTGTTGTTAACAAACATATATATATATATATATATATATA